ATATCGAGTTGGAATATTTCTTACCTTGCCGAAGCGTGCTGGTCTTAGCCTGGCTCAGGTATACTCGCACAGACCGCCACTGATTCAGAAGCTTCTTTGTCGCGATGAGCTTGCGAGGATAAAAGGGTACTATTTCTCTCAGGCTTGCCTTCGTAAAGCTTAATGACTTAACTGTGGGACCGAAACCACCCGTCTGACGACAGTCGAGCGTGGCTCATGGTATGGGCACGAGAACTGCATGAGCACTCGACTTCGGCTCGAACACTCGATTTCGGCTCATAACAATGAATGCCTCGGCGGACACTCGGGTAGTGTGTAGCTCGTGTTTAACTAACGCGGTGATGAGAATAGCCGAACTCTAACAATACCTCGAGCCCCTCACGCGTTTTCTACTTTGCCAACCCCAGCGCGTGACCAGGGCCGGATGCAGGAATTTCCTGAGGGGGTGGGGTGGAGGGGGGGGGGGGGGGGGAGGGGAGGAGGGTCAGGTGTTGGTCACCGTACCATATGTATAAAACCCCCTCCCCCTCTCTTCCGTTTTACGCCCTAAACTTTACACAAGCAGAAATCAAGAGGGGGGTTAGGACATCCGGACCCCCCTCTAAATCCGCCCCTGCGCGTGACTGTGGTAGACCCCTTTCGAAACTGGGCTTTTTATTGGATGCTGTGTAATCGCTGCACAATGGCAGACAGCAGGGAGAGCTTCTTGGGTTCGAATGCGTCCCGGATTACGAATCCTCGTGTAGTGGCAACTCAAGTTGACGCTACCCGCCCGCTCTACTTGCATGGTCAATGCTCTCGGTTGTTTCATCATTGTGCGGTAGATCTGATTTATTTTTATAAATTGGCACGTGACTTTTGAAAGGCACCAGGCCACGTGGCCGCTAGCTCTGGCTCTGAGTAGAGTGAACGAACGATGCTCATATTGCTCGAATTTTTTTGGCGACTGCCATTGCCTAGAAAGAAAAACTAAGGCAAGTTTATTCAGTTAGTAAGGTAAGAGAGTGATTCTATGTCGTATTTAGCGAAAATAGAAAAATCGTTTCGTGGCAGCTTTAAAGAAACACAATGAAACAATATTGAAATGAATGACGATCGATGAACCGACGAATCACTAAATAAAACTGACACCCGTATTCACCAAGCGCGAGTAGCGCCTGTTTAACCACTGACTAGCGACGTCATCGACTAAAATGATCCCGTGGCGAGCGATAGTCGTCGCTAAGTGAGCGATTGGTATTCACCGTTCCTTTTAGGGCCTAGTCGCCCCACGCGACTAAGAAGTCGACTACCGAATCTTAATCATGGGGTAAGGCTAGTTTAGCCCGGGTTTAGCGGGTGACTAACGGCTCAGCGGCATGGCCGACTCGTATCATCACTGACCGCCAGCGGTAACAAAACACTTACTGTTTTGGAACGCTGGGAAACACGTTCAGAAAGAATTGGAGGAGCAAATATTCTGTAAATAGCCATCTTCAACGGTCAGAGATACCGCTAAAAAGATCTCGGCAAGGCGCTGGACGGCGAGAAAAAAAAAACGCATTTACGTGCGCTTCCACACTTGTTTATGTCATTGGCAATGCGGCTGCCGTGTTTCTTCCTTGCGTTTTTTTTTTTACTTTTTTTTGTAAACCCCTCTCTCGGACAATGCGACTCTCATTGTAACTTTTCTTTATATTCATTTAAATGTTAGTTTTGATGCAATAAAACGCCCATATACGCAGCGGCGTTTAAGTACGCGTAAGCTTGACCCATCTTTCTATGTCATTTCCGCTTGTTAGTTCTGATTAGATAGTCACCAGCTCACTTCGCGCTCGTGAATACCGCAGAACTAGTCGATCCTTAGTCGCTGATTTTTTCTCTTCGTTCGCGACCACTTAGACGCGATACAAACTTTAAAATAGCTCTAGTTAGTCACGACTGGTGAATACGGCTGTGAATGTTTAATGGGGCGAACTTGTGCCAAGAGAAAATAAACCTTAGTGGGAATAACAGTCGTCGATGGCGGCGCAGCGGCAGGACCAAGCGCAGTCGAAAAACTGACTTCCGACCGCCACGCGGAGCACCTTCTGTACTCGAAAGGGTGTCTGGAACATTCGGCGTATAACCCTTGACCCGTAGAACATCTGTAATTCAATCAGACGGCAAGATTCTCCAACTTACGAGAACTCTGAATTGAAAGAATAAATAAAAGAATCGTCCTTCCTCCTGGAATCGAACCTAGGGCCTCCGCGCAAAAGCCAAGCCCTGTATCCATTCGGCGACGCACCATTTTTGAAATGTCTTTATTCGGAATACAGACACGTGCCTGCATGTGTTTACACAAAATTTGCACTGTTAAAATGAGGAAGCACAGTGCTCATGGGTGGCGGTGATTAAAATTCCTTCATGCGTGTCAGGATATCATGCACTTCAATCCACTGAGGCGGGTATTCGCTCTGTCCATAAACGCTATTTACCTGTTCAATATAATCAATAAAGAAAATCTGCGCTGACCTGGAGATTTTCTCTGCGTGCCTCACCGTCATCCGCGACTTTCCACACGCTAAATAACCCAAGAACCATAATCATATCTTGCGGAGGAATCTCGTTTGCCCCGATGGGTAGAAAACGGATAGAATGGGGTGTTCGGCGTTTGTCTTCTTTTAATGTTTGTTGCACAATATCTAAACAAAGTACACTTTGTTCCAGCAGTGCAGAAAGCTATGTTCTATAGTTTCGGACATTCGGCCACGCACCAGCTTGGTCGGTGATGCGCGTGGCAATATCGCTTTTTTTTTTTTTTGCATTCCATCCTCATTAGAGGAAGAGTTCCCCATCGGTAATTTTAACAAAACTTTGGCGTCCTCTAAAACTGAACAGTGAACGCTAAACTTGCCATTTCACCTGCTCTCTGTGATTCAGCACATTGTTAGTCAGGTCGTTGACTTGCATTATGTCTGTGCCTCCGTACATTAGTCTTAGTTTATTTTTATGAAAACAGGTATCAGCAGATACGTCCAGTACGTCCGCAGGCATTCGTAACCTTTCCCCGGCATTATGCGAGTTCTTTCACTGCCGAACCTGACCAAACGAAGTACATAACCAAATAAAGGTGTTCGCAAGAACGTCCAGAATTTAGGCTCGTAACAACGTTTTTAGTTCACAACGTGGCCCATTACCACTGTATCATTGGTTGTGTACAACGAGGGACACATATATATTACAAAGCTAAGCGGAGACGGCATAATACATCAACACGGCCTTGAGTCCGTTGAAATCGAAGCCACGTTATGTGTCAACGCCCTCTGTCCACCGGTCAGGTAACTACAGAGATGGAAACGTCTATAGACATGGTTAAATTAAAAACTTGCTAAGCGTCATCGAAAACCACTAAATAAATCAATTTTAGAAATAGTTCGAGCGCGTGGGAAGCGTAGTACTGCACTAAAAGTACTACTTCTACAACAGGTACCAAGGCTTCTTACTTCTGCTACAGGTTACCAAGGTATGATAAGAAACGGAAAACGTCGCGCAGACACGTCATCGCTCCGGCAGCTGTGATCCTGCTGCGCGAACGATTACTTTAGCGCACAACTGCGCTTCTCATCCGCTAAAAATTTGTCTCAAAACTATTGATATAGTGGATTTCGATGCCGTTCAGCTAGTTTATATTTATTGGAACCATGTGTCTATGTTCACTAATTACAAGTTAACTAACAAATTTCAACTAATTAGCCGGCAGATCGCTACGATTTGCCTTCATATTATGTTCCCCTGGCCGTACAACACGCATGCACAAACCGCATAAATGTAACTTTCAAGGATCTTCTCAAAACAAATCTGTTAATCTTACAAAGACACCCTGTGCAAAGGAGACCCATCAAAATAAAATTTTCAGCCGAGTTTTCAGACGGTAGTGTGTTGCCCCCTTTTTTTACCTTAAATGCACGTTTTTGTGATTTTTTTTCTCACTATGTTCGTTAGACAAGTAAAGCTTTCAATATTTTTTTACATTTCAGATAGAAAATAAATTAATTTTTTTATTAACTGCCGCCATTTGTTAGCCCGCATGAGTCGTGTTTGGCGCTATTTTAATAGGCAGCTCAGTACGCGGTTACAATCTAAAACATTGACCACTGTTCCAAACAGGATAGCAAGAACTGCTTCTTCGCCGACGGGTCAATTCCCGACTTGCGGAAAATTGCTTGAAAGTGTAGGGAGTCCCGTTAGAGCATTACGTTTGAGGGAGGCTGTACACCACGTGCTTCGTACTTGAATTGCAATATTTTAAACAGAAGTCCGTAGGCTTCAGTATTCCCAAACTTAAGTTGTGATTCTGCAAATATAAGAATTGGTTATATTTATAAGGATTCCGCAATAAATGATGATAGTACATTCTTCCACAAATGATAGCATGGCTAAAATAATACAACAAACAATCAATCCTTTCCACCGTTTTTGTAGGAAAAAATTTTCTTCCTTACGGTATTTCTTGAACGCTCTTTCCACAGGGATTATTTCAAAGTATATTCTACATGTTCTTTGTCCTTTACGTAATAGTGTAAAAGTTCCTCATACAAGGCATTTCGCTCGGCACAAGGACTTTTTACCAACCTAGCTCTTGCTACAGTGTATTTTTTTTTCTTTGAGCATTCACGCTTTTTAGGCACATTTTCTATAGCTTCACAAACACCCATTGGTGTCGTGCCTTTAAACAGGTCCAAGTGTCCGAGCTGAATTGTTCAGAGTAAGATCACGCATAGCAGGTGTTGGAGCGTCAACCCATTACAGATCTCTTCACTTTCGCTAGTCATATGGGAAGGTGAACGACGCGCTCTCTTTGTCCATTGTTATTATAGGTACACGCGTCTTAACTCACACAACCTCATATATAAAAAGGGGGATTACTTACCGCTTGCAGAGAGAGACAGCTCTAGCCTTTTCCTCACCACGTACCTCAGGCTGATATAGCACAAGTTTACCGTTCTTCATATTTCAATCCTTTGCGAGAACCGATAATGCCGGCCGCGAGTTTTTTCATTGTAATCGTCGCTTGTTTAGGTAAGCCCTCAAATATTGTATATTATTGCTTCACGTGAGAGATATCTCTGTTTATTTGTGCTCCCATCAGCTGGTCAAATAACGTGCGGTGAACTCGATCCTGCTTTGAAGAGATGCCAAGACCAAGATTTCGAGAAAGTAAGTGATTTTTCACTGCTGATGGGTAATCGCAGTGTAGTCAATTTTCTTTATTCTTTATTTATTTATTCAAAGATTACCCCGCATTGCCCGGAGGCGTTATTGCAGGGGGGTTACAGTTTTGAAAAAAATACATCTTCATTTGTAGAGCTCACCTGGTCTTTAGACAGCCTATTCCACTTTGCAATGGTTTTAACGAAAAAGGAAGTTGCATACATGTTCGTCCTGGCGTGGTACTCTCGGATTTTGAAAGCATGGTAAGTCCGCCTAGAAACATAGTGTGGGTGTTTTAAATATACTTCTCTGTTAATGCCAGTTTTATTATTATATATGAGAAATAAAAACTTCAGTCTCAACTTTTCTCGTCGAGAAGAAAGCAGTTCCCAATTCAATTCGCTTTTCATTTTAGTGCAGCTCTCCCTCCGCCCATAACGACCCAGTACAAACCTAGCAGCTCTATTTTGAATTCTTTCCAATTTGTCAATCAAGGTTACGTGCGGAGGGTCCCAGACGGCGCAGGCATATTCTAAAATTGGCCTAACACATGTTAAGTACGCGGTTTTCTTTAATTCGGGTTGTGAACATTTCAAATTCCGTTAGAAATAATTGAGCGCCCTGCCAGCTTTTAGAATGACGTCATCAACTTGAGCATTCCAAGAGCAGTCGGATGACAGTGTGACACCAAGGTACTTGTAGGGAGTTTCGTTTCTTATTAGGGCGTTATCTATCTGATAAGCACTTTCAATTTTTTTCTTTCTCTTGGTAAAACTCAGGTGTACACACTTCTTTGGATTTAAGTTCATGCCACTTGGAACACCAAGTATTAATTCAATCCAAGTCTCGTTGCAACGTAGCAGCATCTTGTTCGTCCTTAACTTCCCTATACAGAACGCAGTCGTCAGCGAACAACCGTATAGAGGAGGAAATTCCCACGGAAATATCGTTTACATAAATCAGAAGCAAAAGTGGTCCCAGGACCGAGCCTTGCGGGGCTCCTGACGTTACGTTAACATACTCCGAACTTTTTCCGTTCAAGACAACGCATTGGTGACGTTGAAATAAATAATTTTCGATCCATCGGAACACATTTAAGTCTAAGTTTAACAACTCTAGTTTACTAAGAAGGAGCGGATGCGACACAGTGTCGAACGCCTTACGGAAGTCTAGAAAAACAATCCGTTTGCCCTCTATCGTCGATATTGGACGCCAGTTCATGGTAAACTTCGACGAGCTGTGTCGTGCAAGATAGGACTTTACGAAACCCGTGTTGTTGACTAATTAGTATGCTGTTGTTCGTTATATGTTTCATTAATCCTGTATATAAAACATGTTCAATAATTTTGCATGAGATGGCTGTTAGTGATATTGGCCTGTAGTTTGAAACCTCTTTTTTTTTTAACCACCTTTATGAATAGGGACAACATGGGCGATTTTCCAATCGTCTGGTAGGATACCAGTGGAGAGTGACTTTTCGTAGATTACATAAAGATACAACGAAATAGGTCCGGCACAACGCTTTAGTATACGGGAAGAAATACCATCAGGGCCATTTGCCTTAGCTTCGTCAATGTTTCTTAAAAGCAACTCGATGCCCCTCACGCTTAGTTCAACTGGCTCCATTAACGGGATGGCACTTGCATGTGCTGGAGGACAGCTGCTATCTTTAGGTAGGAAGATAGATTGAAAGTAATCATTCAAGCACGTAGCCTTTTCAGTATCGTCTAAAAGGATATGATGGTTGTGCACAATTTTGTTTATTCCTAAGACTTCGGATCCACAGCCTTTTATAAACTTCCAAAAAAGTTTAGGGCTAGTTTTCATCCTGTCGTTAAGTCTTTTAAAATATCCTTTTTTCGCAATTTGTATGGATAATTTATACTCCTGCGCTAATTCAGACAACTTCTTCAAGCGATTGTTACTTCTAGTTTTCTTATACTTGAGAAATGCTCTCCTTCTTTTTTTAATTATCCTTAGGATACGTGAAGTCACCCAGGGTTTTTTCATTTTTTTTCAGTCTAGTAGAATCTATGCTTGGAACATAACAGTTCATAAGTTCAAGCAGCTTGTTCTTAAATACACACCATAATTTGTGGACGTCGTAATCCTCAGCTAGGCATTCAAAGACCGGCAAGTGGTCAAGCAGCTGCTGAGATATACTAGTATAGTCGCCTTTCTCGAAGAAAAAAACTTTCCTTGTTGCGCATGTCGTCGGTCGGATGATTCCTGATTTGACGCTTGCAATGACGGCATTATGATCACTTATTCCTGGTATAATGGTGACGGAATCTATAAGGTTGGGTGAACTGCAAAACAAAAGGCCTAATATGTTATTATACCGAGTTGGATCCTTCATATTGTAACAGTCCATAAGTATCTACGATGTTCTTCACTTCTAGATTAATCCGACTACTAACTTTGCATGAACAAGTGCCATCATTCCATTTCAATTCTGGCAGGTTAAAGTCACCTGCAAGTAAAATAGGGTGCCGAGAGGCCTCCGAAACGATTTCAAACAACGACTGTAACGTCTTTAAATCTGAATTCGGTGGCCGATAAAACGTTCCGACAGCGTACGACGAATTGTCAGATAAAGTAACTGAGCACCAAATTGACTCGACATCGTCAGGATCAATATCTAGCCTAGATGATTTTAGAGAGGAATGAACTAGCAAAAAAACGCCTCCCCCGAGGCTGGGCCTATCCTTCCGATAAACAGTAAATTCGTTTGGAAACACCTCACTATCGGCGATAGTCGGGTTCAGCCACGATTCTGTACCAAATACGATATCAGCTTTTACAGACTCGAGCAGGGCAGTGAACTCATCAACTTTGTTTATTACACTTCTGCAGTTTATTACGACAGCAACTAGATCGCGGCAGGCATTTTTCTTATTCTTACTGGGGCGTCATTGTTTCAAGAGTGGAACGACCTCCTCTTTTTCTGTGTCCCATGTGAAAGTCTTTCCGTTAATAACAAGCTTATCATAAGTTAGCTTTACCTTGTTATTACTATCTGCTTTTTTAACCTTCGCGTATTCCCACAGTCGCTTTCGAATATCTCGGGTCTCAGGGGAATAATCATTATCAACGCTGTAGGACAACCCCTTGAACTTCTTAGCGTTTGACAAGACGTCCTGTTGTTCCTTATACGATGCGAAATTTACAATGACTGGCCTTTTGAACTTTTCATTGTATCGACCAACACGGTGTGCTTTTTGAACCGTCTTTAGTTCGATCCCCAAATTGGCCTTGCAAATACTTTTAACCAAGCTTTCCGACTGGTTCCACGTTTCCGAACGGTTGTCGTCATCTATTCCATAAAAGACAAGATTTTGTCTGCGACTTCTGTTTTCGAGGTCAATATTTTTGATTCTCAGATAAGCTACTTGTTGTGCAAGGTCTCTTATTGCGTTTGCTCGTTCAGACACTAGTTTGTTAACCGCTTCGACCTGCCCCTCGGTTTCACAAAGCCTTTTGTTTACTTCCGTCACCATAGGTTCCTGTTTGGCTAACCGAGTGTCGATAGTATCTAGCTTGCTCATGATTATTGCCTGGCCACTTTGACGATCTCTAAGCAGGTCCATTTCTTCTGCAGTAATAGGTCCAGGATTGAGTTCAACATCGCCGAAAAGTAACAGGAGAAGAATCAAATACAGCACCCGATTCGCAAAAAGGCGAAAATATCTACGAGACAATCGCACAAAACACACTCGTTTGCGACAGTGGGAAATAACACTTGTCATGGGAGGAGCCGGCAACGCATACAACAGTTTAAGCACTTGAACAGGGCAGTGTGAACTAACTTGCATAACCAACAGTGTCGTTAGGTGCATGTCTGCAAGTGTGCCGGCTCCAAATCCCACGAAGCCGAAGTGCTGCGCGCTTAAGTAGGCTTGCTTGATGTCACGTGGCCGTCGATGCTCGAAGCAGACTGTTGGACCGCTGTCGGCGAGGGCTTTATCAAAACGATGCTTGAAGTCGGTGATGACTGGCAGTTCGCTCTTGTTGTTGATTGTCGGTACGTGCCATCCGAATGCGGTTGTCGAAAATGGTTCTGGCGATAGCGGGAACACTGCCCGCTCGCCAGCCACGCCGAGCAAGAACGCCGATCCGATAGGGTTAAGAACCTGCATAACCAACAGTGTTGTTAGGTGCATGTCTGCAAGCGTGCCGGCTTGTAATATGAGCGGTGTTTCTATATCGTTAAGCGCAGTTTTTGTGCGTAAGCTAATAGTTCGTGTTTTATTGTTGTAGAGCTTGTACACTGAGCGGCAAAGTTATCATAAAGGACAGTATGATCACGGTGTATCTTTTTCATTAAAAAAAGTCCATGGGACTTCATCACTCTCGATAGAGCAAAGAAAATGAGCAGACGCAACTTCACTGCTTGTTGATGGCAGATTTTTGGATGTAGGAGAAACTTAAAAACCATAGCAGTATTCTCTCAATAACTCAATCTGGTTCAAGATATCATAGGTAAAGTACAGTGTCAAAGCTCATCACACGTCTTTTTGAACTGTCTGGAATAATCTGAAACTAGAAACAAACTGGTTCAATAGTCCGTGTTTATTACTCAAAATAGCGTCTTAGCTCAAACGTAACGCAGAGCCATCAGAGTCCATAGGCATTTAGAAACTTCTAAAACTTATTTTAGTGTTCTGTATACTATGTTGTGTGAATTAAAGCCCCGAAAAAGAACCGGCATGCAGTCCTTTATGGCGTCATTTTGTTTGGCGGTTTAATCTCCACAGCTTGGAGTTCCAAATTGCCCAAAAGTATACTCTTCTAGAGTGTTCTTGTATCTTTTTTATGAAAATATAATTACTGTAAAGCCACACTTCATGCTCTTTTCTGTATATTTTCAAACATTGCTACAATTTCTTTACATTGCTTTGCGTGCTTCGTTTCTTTTTTTTTTTACGCGACAATCATCAAATCATTTTGAAGCAGATTTTATTTTGCCCAATGATGGTTTGTTTTCAAAGGCAGTCCAATAACGAGTGGACGTCTATACAAATGCCTAGCTATCTCTATTTTATAACTTATGTTAATCTTTTGGCAGCAGGTAGAAATTAAACATTTATTTTATTTATGTGCCTCAAACTAATTGAACGCTCAAATATTGCTGTCTCTCAACGCTTTCTCTACGAAGTCCTAATTTTTTTTTTTATACAAAAGCGTCAACCCACCCTGGGAAAAATATGTCTGCTGCTTGAATGTAACCCGTACAGCTAGAATGACCACGCCCTCAACGTTTTCTTTTATTTTTTATTGCTCTCTAAAATATGTTGTGTGTTTTGCGTTTTAAAATGTTTCATCCTCTCTATTCTGACCTACACAAAGCGGATAAAAGGTTGATTGGTAATCTAGGCACTTTCATCGACTTGGAAGAACGGTTCTAGAATAAGCATCAATTAATTTCACAACCGCCCTACATTTTTCTACGAATGCGAACTAAAGTAGAATAAAAATATGCTTTTCCAAAACATTGGCATAGACAAAAAAGAAACAAAAATCAAGAGGAAAATATATTGTTTGTGTGGACCAAGCAGTGGCCATTTTTGAAAGCCTGACTTGAATACAAAATGATATGAGATAATACACGTTATCCCTATATCCAATATAACTTTTCGCTATTGGAATTATGGAACACGAGATCAAACTCGCAATGTTTTTCGAAACCTCCCCCCCCCCCCCCCCTTTCCGGAACAAAATCCTGGTTACGTGCCTGTCAGTAATTCTGATTAGGAAACACTTTTAGGAATATTACTTCATTCGCCTATTGTGTTAGGGTAGAAGTACGGTTTAAAGAAAGTTCATATTCTGATAAAAGAAGTTCGTATACTGATAAAAAAATGTTCATAGTCAGTAACGTACTATTTCAGATAAAGTTTTTTTGTTAATATAGCAATATCAGAGTGACTATTGTTGACAAAGCTGCATATCCCTTTCTTTGATCGCATGAAACATTGAACGCTTTCAAAACTAAAAATATGACGCTGCTATTTTTTAGTTTAGCTAAAGCAGCAGGTTGGAGGTAGGTTCCGGGCCTTCTTATTGTCATTTAGCTATGCGCTCAGATCCATTACGTGGTCTTTTACCGGACCGTCGACGTAACGCTTCTTATTGATGAGGAGCTTGTCTCAGCAGATTTCGAAGGGTGCGTGAAAATCGAAATAACTTGCCACACGTAAAGCCAAGACGATTTGGTATATTCCTTTATTATCACCAATGTGCTGTGTTTCATTCTGTGACCAGACACCAAAATATGTTCCTTAATTTTAAATCAAAACAAATTTGCAACAATTCGGTTGTTTTTATTCTTTTTTTTTAGCGACCTAACTATTTGATATTTTGAAATTCGAGGGGTTAAAATCAACTTGAAATTGAGGAAGAAAAATCTAATTGTGTTCTTTTCGGATCTCACTTACGTTTCTGACTGAGACCAGGCGCATTGTTTGGGTCGCGCACCTAGCTGTGTTTGAAGATTGGTGTTTGTCCTTCGTCCACCTTGTTTCGGTTTTCCAGATATCTCTATCCAGGCCGATAGAAGAACGGCGGTCTGGCAGGTAGCGCCACCGTGAGGATAGCTACTGGAGTACCCGAAGTAGAGAGGTTGATCTAAAGTGGCGGAGCGTGCGAGCTGGTTTATGATATAAAATTTAAAAGCGCTAACAAAGACCAGGACAGAAAAGGAAGGCGAACAGGACGAGCGAGGTTGATCGCTTGACAGTTCCGACATGCTGTGCTCAAACTGGAAGACGGATCGTGCGGGCTTCTGTAGATTCTGACGCTAGTCACATCACGTACCTAGTTGCAGACGCCAATGAAGTTGCGTACTAGGTGTTGCTGCTCGCAATATGGCCCGGCTTGTAGTAGCCTTATACCCAGTGGATCAGCCATGGAACAATCTAGGGAGGTTGGTATACAGGCAAATCTCTGTCCAAACTGATAGAAGAACAGAGGGCTGTCAGATGGGGCCACCGCGAGCATTGCAGCCAGGAGTACCTGAAGTGGAAATGTGTATGGCTTGACAGTTCATATGGTAATACCGTGCCCCAACTGGAAGATGGATATGCTGGGCTCTAGAAGATCCTGATGCGTCACATGACGTCCCTAATTGCCGTCTGGCAACTGGATGAAGTTCTGTACTATGCTGAGCTGGTCGCAAAGTGTGCTCGCTTATAGCTGCCAAATATCCACTGCATCCAGTAGCGCAACAATCTACGCAGGTCTGTATTCCACAAGGTGTATACAGGCAGATCTGTATCCAGGCTGGTAGAATAACGGTGGGCTGGGTACAGCCACCGCGAGAGTAGTGGGCAGGAGTACCTCAAGTAGCAGGTTGAATGGCGTGACAGTTCCCACGTTAATGCCATGCCCCTTCCAATGTAACCGCTGCCTTTACCACTAGCTTGACATAGGCAGTAGTCACGCAGAACGTGATGCATTATTGAGAAGAAACTGTGTACACATAGGGACAATAGTTGGCGCAAAAGGTAGTGTCAGCAATTTATTAGTTTAAAATAAAATAGCGGGGCTAAAGCGGTGTGCACCACTAGTAGACGAGGCATGCTAGCAACAGTGCAATTGAAACACTGCACCATGGACTGAACCCAGCTGCCAGCTCGCGGCAAAAGAGAACCATACAGCGTCCGCTTTCCCCTTTCTGACTTTCTGTCGTCTCTCGCGATATTTTTCTGTGAGGAACGGAGAGTGCTGGTTCCGCGGAAAAGAGCACTGCGGTCTGCTTGAACACATAATATTTGATTCCCGCCTGAATTAACACGAATTTACACGTGGAAGGCGTTCGGTTTACATCTATGTCCAATCAGTGAGACGAGCGCTTCTAAAACGTTCGGCAGCGAGTCGGCTTACTGACTTCCGTCTCTGGTTTCCGAACGCAAATGGTTCCGTACCTGTCATATACCACACTCTGTATTAAATAAATACCAGTCTTAAAGGACCTGGAGAATCCCATTTGCCCAGCTGTGCGCCTCCGTTGCGCAGTAGCTAAGTCTGACGCTGCACCGCAGCCGCTTGATCGCGCTTCTCATTTTGTGCGCATAAGCTAACGCTACGTATATCCTGGCATAGCCGAGCTAAGCCACCGCAATATTTTACGGCTGTCGCGAATTCGCCGATACTTTGAGAACCAGAAATCTGCACTCGAGAAGAGAAACAGAAACGAGTTCAAAGAGAATGTTGCTCTTTGCCCACATGATACCACCAGGAACGACGTGAAAAAATCAAAGTCGAGGTGGTTGCTAAACAACCACAAATAATGGCGTCAGGTGGCGGCGTTTTGTTGCACACGTGATCAGTGCCTCTTGTAGATTCTCGCCTCCTCTCTCACGCACAGAGAGACATGCCTTGTTTATTTTGATACTCCTATAGTTTTATGGTTTTTGTGCTCATTTGCCTTATACTCAACAACGGATACGAAAACCTTTAATGGAGAACAATGGATAACAAATAACTTTAGTAAACACAAGTTAATGGCTGAATGCCATAATTATTCGAATTTCTGACCTTATATAGACACCCCCCGCAACAAATTTACCTTTATGGCAGCAGCGCGTTAAAGGACAATCGAGATATTGTTAGCGTACGGTTAAAATTGTTAAAAGAACGTAGCTTCTAAAACAAAACCCGTATATTTAAACTCTATACCTATTTCCAGCATTTTTGTTCACTGCACTTTTTTGCGTGGATTAATTAACGACTGCTCTCTTTCTTATTCCGCTAGAAGCTGAAGTATTAAAGACAAATACGCATCGAGATAGTTTTATATAAATTAAAACCTTCTCCCAGTTTGTTTAATTTTAGTATAATTTAATTTTATCACATATTTATTGAATAATTTCTCTTCCATGTGAACTAGCCGGGATATTCGCCGGGCTGCACTTACACCTGCAAGAATGGGTCAATGGAAGATACAACAGAATATTGGGGTGAATATAGAGATGCTACCCTGTGCGTTGTAAGTACAACTTCACAATTACTAAGATCTTGTTTACCCCTATTCCCTTCAGTTGTAACCTGTAAATGTATGTACAAGGCATGACCGTGCCATACATATTTCAGTTCAAGATGACTGCATAACGTTATGGCATTTATTATTAAATTTATTTATTCATTATTTAAATTGCGGGTCACTTGTTTCAATGAGATTATAAAATTCATTTACACAAACAAATAAAGATATTACTTAAGTCAAACGTGTTGGTCACCTTGTAGAGGCAGTGCGACAACTTATTTAACCATTTTGCAGTAAGAATTTGATATGAACACTTGAACTTATAAAATTTACATTTATTGTACAATCCTCAAGCAATGACTCAGCTCATTTAAACGGACAATTTGTAAAGTAGAGTGTACTATTATATTCTTTCGGAAAAATATACGTATTTATAAGTATTATTTTTAATAGGAGGAATTATCTTAATGGTTGTCTTCGTTTGAAGATCGTACGAAAAGTTATGCATTCATACGTTTTCTATAACTGGTGACAAATGATGTCCTCGATCTCGATAATACTTCAGCGCAGATATTTCTTAACTGACTTATTAATTGTTGCATAAGACCAATGATGTCCGATGTATTTATTTGTTTAGAACACTATAACTCGTTTCACGGAAAGTTGTTCAGATCTTCTTCCACGTTCATAACTGTTGTTGGAAAACACAAGATATAATCTCGAGTTCAACAGAAAAGTCCCAATGCAGTGCAAATCGAAACTCCAGGGAATTCACCATAAGCTCTCACTCAACATCAAGAAGTTAGCTGAAATTATTATCTGAGTGCTGTATTTTTGTAACCTTGCAAGCTGTCAAAAATATACCGTTTGACGGCAAGGTAAAAACACGGTTATTTTTTAAACAAGCACGTTACTCAGTTTAAAATGTGTCCCACGATAATTGTTTCAAAAACTGCGCTAAGTTGTGGGCAGGCGTACATAGTACGAAGCGGCGCTGTTTCAATTAAAACAGTTTTGTGAAATATAACTGCGGTTCGGGCACCTGCAACGCATGCAGGGTTGTCACAGAGTTGTCACAAACACATCATCGACGGTCACGCATATTTTAAAACTGAAAAAAAATCTTAAAGCGTTGTTATTTTTTTTATATCCTGACGAGTGCGTTGCCACGCCATAAATTTTCTTAAATTACAAGTTTGTTTTATTTCTTGTTACTTTCTTTTTAAAACCGAGCATTCCGAGATATATTCTGTAATAGGGGTAAATATGTCACATTTTTACTGTTGTCAGTAGCAGGGTAGGTGGGTGTACAGCTTGAACAAAATTTTGATTAAACCAGCTGAATGTTAGCGTCCCTCCATGTTTTGTGTGTCTGCTTCTCACCGGACTTTTTAGCTGTTCCAAATTAATTAAATGAAGCACCGTAACGTAGTTCCAAACTACTTTTCTTCACTTTCAGTTTTTGTTTTCACGCCTACGGCTTCTTTATATGGTCGATAATAAATTTAGTCGCAAAAGACTGAAAAAAAAAGTTTCTGAAGTTATACTGCTTCAATAAGATATTTGGTCAAGAAATAAACTTACCCTTGCACTACGGTTGTGATATTCCGTAACATTGAATGATTTTATTTCACGAATCATAATTACGCCTGCTACTATCTATAGCTCATTCACGAAAAAAAAAAGATGCTACAGCTCAACGCAAATTATTGCTGACAGTTTTTTTTTTTCACATGCGTATATGTTAATTTATTGGCTCTATATTCTTTCCATAAGACATGACTCAATCAGAACTAAAGTGGTATTAACTAAGGAATGAATAACTCGGTTCCTGGGCACAAATATGTATATAATAAACAGTTTAACCCATGTTTAAACGCCTAACAGACATCGCTTGCCGAGGAGGGGTGCGTGCCAAAAAAAAAATATTACGCTCCAATCTATTTTCCGTCCCTATTGTAAAAAAAATGTATATGTTGTACAAATCAAGGTTGTTCAAGACAAGCAAAATTTTGTTTAGGCATATTCTAGAAAAACCTACCTGTTGATAAGATTTCCGGAAACTTTTAACAAAACAATCACGATTCTCATTGTAATGAATGTGCTCTATAAGCGTCAATCCTAATGCATGGCCGCTGAGTACTTTTAATCACGGTAGCCTAGACGTATTTCAGCACCGTGTTTCCTACCCTTAAAACGCTATTCCTTTATACAAAGGGACCGCGGTATATTATAATATATTCGAATTACCTTGGTGTTCTGATACATGTGTTTTGCCGTACAAATTCAACCCCGGAAGCTTTGCTTCCTAGAATGTATATTATTACTATATGAATCAATATTTTTGTGGTATGTGAATTTAAGAGACAACGTTTTCATTGCAGGCTCTTACAAATGATAACCTTACACAGTTCACACACATTGGGTCTTGCAAAAACGGAAAATGTGTTCAATATGCTGAAGGTAAGAAGACTTGGCATTTAATTTTTATATTTAAAATGTCGAGAATAACACAATTAGCAATTTTAATGATAATTTGTTTTGCACTTTGCTCTTTGCCAAGTGTTGTTACCAATCTAACATGCTGCATCGACAATACCTCAAGAAGGCACTAGTTAACAGTTTTTGATCAGAGGTTTTGTGTAAACTTCCTTCATGCAGTCATCTTTGCACATTTTATATATTGGAGACCTTGGCAAGTTGTAGCACAATCAGCCAAAAAACGTGGCACAATAGAAATAAACGACACAAAATACACCGTCCTAAGCCACGATGTTGAGTGCTTTATATATCCTTACAACTACTGCTACACCATTAGTTGGAATACTCTGCTGTGTGTTCCATTCGGAGGAAGGACAGGAAACGATGATTTTAGCTTAGGAAGAAAAACTATTTCATTTGACGAAACGAGGTACGAAGCATTGTGGTAGGATGGATGTTTGGGCCAGTTAGTGAATCATACTCTACGGTCACAGCGCAGAGAAACAATCACTCACCAGTAACTCAGAAAGACAAGCACTACAAGCACACGCGCTGAACTTACAACATTCGTGTATTCAACTACTTCGTTCTGCTCTTAAACGTCTGGATTGACTTTCCAGAACGTGATAAGCAGAAGAAATATCGCCAAATACAAAAAGGCGAACGACAAGACAAAAAAATAAATAAACGTAAAAATAAAGATACGAAAAAAAAAGAATTTGCTTTTCCCGTTTCAGTTTCTTTCCTCGTTTTTTTTTTTTTGGCTTTTCTATTTTTTTTTGTCCGGTCTTTCGCCTTTGTTTCTAGTATTTTGTGCTATTTCTTCTATTTAACAGTTACTGGAAAGTCAGTCGAGACGTTGAAGAGAAGAACGAAGTAGTCGAATACACGAGAGTTGTAAGTTGAGCGCGTGTGGTTGTCTTTCTGAGTATCTGGTGTGTGATTGTTTCTCTCCGCTGTCACAGTAGAGTCTGCGAAGCATCAACATACACGGGGCCATGGAGCGCGAAAGGAGCGGAGAAACGCTCGTGGGGAGCTGTCACCGGCCAGCAGGCACGTACACTCGTGAATAATATGAAGGTAAACAGCCCTCTTCTTGTTTTTGACGCTCCTGCGAGTTTTGGAACGAGTTCTGTTCCACAAGAGGGCTAGAACGCAAAGTCTAGACCCCCAAGTCACCTACCATTTGAAACGTTATGAGCAGAGTTGATATAGATTGAGGGAGCCGTAAAACAGGCAAGAAACCGGGTAAGGTGTTCACCTCCATATTTCCGGCGGGTGTACATACGGTCATCTGGTTCCACGCGTATAGGGACACATTGGGATTTGCAAAACACAATTGCTTGGACTAGCAAATGGGCTCTGCAATTGAAGCAACACAAAAAAAATCACGTTTGTAACTTTTCTGAACTAAGGCCTTTGTGCAGTGCGTGGTAACTTCTGAATAAAGAATAAAGAAATTAGGAAAGGACAAGACTGACAAGGAACACTGGTGGCTCCAGCAGTATCTCCTCCTCAGCTCTCGTTGTCGTTCCTTCGGATGGGACTTTGACCTGTTAGTGTGGAGCATTCCAGACAAAAGTTTCCCCTCGAGAAGTATTTTATATTTGAGAAGGGTAAAATAAATAAGAACCTCCCCGAAGGTCACATGGAGAGTCACAACAGTGTTTCACAACAAAACAAAGTTGAGCTGCAGCGCGTCACAATTCAAGCAACATTGGTCCCAGACGAATGTTTGTTCAAATATGCTCATGACATGTACCTTCGGGAAAGTGAGAAAAATCATGTCAAAGGCTTTTTTCATTGCGTCAACCGCACTCCAGTTAAGCCTGGTGTAACACAATCCCGGTTATAAAGCGTCATAGAGTTTCACTGCGTCATCAGGATGATTGTGGTCGATAAGCTGAAGTAGTCCATAATGCCGGTATTGGTCAGGTGGAACTGTACAAAAAAATATAAAAACTAATTCCTAATTAAGCCGGTTATTGCTATATGAGAAACCTTAAAAGTACCTGGTCTTATCCGTGAAGACCCGCAAATTAAACATCATGAAAAAATTGCGTCGTACTGCATAATTAACGCACCAAAAAAGGTTTTTCTCGATCGGAATTATCGAAACCCTATATTTTAGTCCATTTATCAGGCGATGGGCACAGCATCGAATATGGTAGTTTTGTAAGAGTCAAGTAACTTACGGTGTTCCAAAATCAAGGAGGCGCGGCGCAGAAAGATGCAGTGGAGTGCAAGTGGAGCAGATGGCGTTTTATTTCGTAAAACCGCAATGCTGCAGCCGTTCGAAAGATAAATCGGCAGCGGATTTTTTTTCCCACGTAGTTGCTATTGCTCAATGTCTACATTTTCTCCGTCACCGGAAGTTTTAGAACCAATTTGTGTAACGTTCCACACACAACTATAAAACTATTAAATTTTATACACACAGCATCTTTCAAGTTTGGTTTTCAAACTACATAAAACAAATTCATATTCCGTTTTTAAATTGTTTATGCTTGTGCCTCGATTTTCCTCCTTCAGAAAACATTACCATTTTAAGTGGGTCATAAACGACTGATAGTTTATTTTAAGGACATACAGTTATTTTCAAAGCAGAACATTTCTTAGAGAGTGTTTGACTAGCCCAAATATTTAATGGAACACGCCACGTTCATAAGCTGAGAATAATATCCATAAAAATATCCAGCTATATGTTTCGATTCCCGACGTTCTCCAACATACCGTTTTGAATTATTTTAATCAATTTGTTATAAACCATACTTTTCAAGGGTTTGTCTTTAGCCATGCCCAACATCGCGCAAAACTAATATTTCATACATTTCCATTACGACAGATAACATTCAAAGGGTATGGAGCCAACTTCCTGAGTTGCAAAGCGAGTTTCGTAATTGCGACACCATTTCAAGCGTGAGTTTCGAAACAAATAAATATAATTATGAAAAGTAATACAAGCCAGACGTACAGTAGAAACGATGTCATTGTTTAACTTTCTTCCTCAATTTTATATTTTGTTATTTAGGCACAACAGCTCATTTGCAAGCTAATGCAATATTCTGCTGTGAACAGGCAACTCAATATTGAGATATAAAACAAAGTGTATGGTTCTGTTAAATCCTTTTTTATAGAAACCATAGGTAGTCTGTATGAGTTAATTTGTGGCAACGTATCAAAATATTTGATGCACGCTACGCGTGTCGAACCAATGAAGAATTTTTCACAGATCTGTTAGGCAAGCCTCGATATTTTGTCGATGTGCCTAAGTGCCTACTTAAAATAAATTAACCACATAACTTTTTAAAACACAAATTTGTGCGCAGATTGTCGAATGCAAAGTATGTGCACCACATTTAGAAACATATCGTGTTTTTTTCAACAAAGTGGCCTACGTGTGTTTAGTTAGTTTCGAGGTGTTCTTAAACCTCGTAATTGTCGCGTGATACTTAAAAAAGTCCCACGTGCACATACAATTTGTTTTTTAAATCTAGACATTTTTTATGTTTAAAATCATTAGACAGAATAAGACGTTCAGTAAAACGACGCTATTCGATTATTTCAACGCTCTTTACAACTTTTGTATTAGATGGTGTGTGTACAAAAGTAATCTTAAAAAGTTAGGTATTTATTGTTTGTTAATTAGCCACTTGTGTTTATCACAAACGTTTCATAACTCGCTCAATAACACTTTAAAAACTACTGCGTGGTTTCGGCATATGTAGCGTGCAGAAGCTATTTTTATTTTCTTGCGTTATTTACCTGAAACTCCCCCTATATCTATGCCATTGATGTTAAGAAGGAAATGTTATTGTTGTTTTATGACGAGTGAGTCATGGCGCTTTGTAACATGCCTTCTTCAGAACGATTCTGTGGAAAACTGCCTGTATATTTGCAAGACAGATTTGAACGGATATTCCTACGGAATTTACCAGGATCGTAGCACATGCAAAGTGAGTACTATTAAACACGTACCAGTAAGGGCCCAGCTGCATTGTTTCAAACTATTTTAGATTCGGTTAAGGCTAAGCTAGATGAAAGCTGGTCTACATATTTGTGTTTAATTGTTGCTGACTTCGTTCCGATTGAATTTGACTGTTTACAACGAGAGATCACGCCTGCATACTGGTGTGCAGGCGTGTAACTAGACTGAAGGTTTGACCGTATTTACGACACCAAATCTATCCACACTTCATGAGCAATGGTCGCTTAATACATTGTAAGGAATATTTAGGCAGTAAAATAGTGGTGACTAAACATAAACAAATATGCGCAGAAGCAGGTGACATTATCCCCAACAAAAGGTTCATTACAAAAACAAAATTTTAAAATTATAGCGGGAGAAAGAGCCCGTAAAGTACCCACGTCCGCCTTCCCAAATCCGACACTTCCTTGCTTCATTCATTTATTTCCGTGATAACGTAGAAGATGAAGCATTCTTTATTAGATATTTAGATATGTTTCAAGTTGCACATCTGTGTAACAATTGTTAGTGACGTTACACCGCTGAGTTTGAAATGCAAAAACTTGTAGCCCGAAAGTAGCGCTGAAGAGTCATTGGCCGTTACTTGGTTTATATTCATAACGTGTTTAGAAAGTGCAAAGGAACACCACGGAAACCGCTACGAAATGCGTAACTCGTGGTTCAGATGGCAATCTGTACGAAACGAGACATAACTGAGAAGATGTGGTAAACATTGGATAAGAAAGAAGAAAATCCTAAACGCCCACGAATGAATCGAACCGACGGCCCTACGATTTTGCAACCGAAACTCAACGACTGCGCTGGGAAAGTTTTTTTTTCTTTTTAGCTTATTTCGCATTAAATGAGTTTCCTTTTTTTTTTCTTTTTGATATGCCAAAGAGGTAGGGCAGACGATTGGCACCAAAAGAATTGTTGCGGATGTGAACGCGCAGTGTCCCACGCCGTCGTTCGGCGTTTTCACGCGTTAAAACAACAAAGGCAAAAAAAGCTAGCTTTACGTCCTTTCTTATTTATTGTCACAATGCTTTCAGTGCATGAAAAAGCCATGCAGGCTAATATTTTGCTAACGCACCAGTCGAGTTATGGTCAACACTGTTTTACTAGAAGGATCTAAAAGCAACCTGCCCGTCGAGAACAGGGAACCAATCTGGGGTATCTCCCAGAGCCAGATACACCTCTCGAATATGTATGATACTACAAGAAAAGAACCGGCTTGCAGCGTGTACATTACACTGGCATGCCGCGTTGCCCAACGTCTCCCCCCCCCCCCCCCCCCCCCCCTTACAGATACAGTGTAATCCAACGAACATAATGATATTATGTGGTAGAGTGTCTGCTGAGTCAACGGGCAGAGAGCGTACCTCATGCGCAGTTTAAGGAAAGTCCTTCAGATAACACTGTAGTACATCCGAGTCCCAAGAATCTAAGAACAAGCTTTGCGTCTATTCAATAATTTTTCCGATTAGAGTTTTGTGTTTCGAAAATCCTCGCAGGCTCTTATATCCTCCTCTTCCTTCCGGTGGCGCATTCGAGCTGCAGCGACAAAACGGGGACGCAGGATCCAGCAAATTATTATAGAGATCACTGATTATGACTAAGACAATTTTATACATTTGAAACGTGGATACCTTATTGTGAAAAGCTTCAGAACCGCCAATGACCTCTTTGTTTATTGCGATAACGCGTAGTTGATCTATGCTTTTTTCTTTGTTAATGTAAACATGTGTAATGGCTGTTCCTCGGCTACAATTTGCCCTTTTATTGCTAAAGGTCTACGATATAATAGTAAATAATTTATTAATGAAGACTTTATACAATTTAATACAAAATTTGGGGTGATAATATTTTTTGTTTCTGTGAAATATTATCTTGAAATTAAATATTTGCTAGTGCTTTAAGCATTATTTATGTATTGTAGTAAAAAACTGCAAATTAATTTGATGATTTGTTGAAGTGGATGACCTATATTTTAAGACATATTTTTATGTCAGGCATTTACTTATTTATTTAGCGACAGATGCAAAGTAACTTATGTTCAGTTATGGCTCGTGCCGCAGAAAAGTGTCGTGTTAAATGTTATTTAGCTCTATATCAACCAATTTGTTACATTTGATTAAGAAACCAAATGTTCACCGAAACATGTTTCTTCTCTTTTAGGTAAAAAATGGCGGGCTCGGCATCTGCTTGAGTGGATTTTGCCACGGAAAAGAATACTTTCCGACAACTGATAACGATACCCTGAAACTATTGTAAATAAAATAATCTTGGGCACTGAATTGTGTTTACTGCTGCTATAAGCACGAGATACTGGGAATTGCATCTCCTGGTACTGCTTCTATTTCCTGTACGAAATATTAACTTGTTCTTGTCTTCCAAATATTTCAATAAAAAAGTAACGGTATAGTTCTATTTATACAATATATTTTGTCACTATAAGTGAGAACAAAATAACTTTCTAGCCTGCAGGGTTAGCTATTTTCGATATTATAGGAGGAAGGGGGTGTATACAAGTATGTTATATATTTTCAGAAAAAAAGAAATTTGCAATACGAAAAATTGCCAAAATGTCTTGGTGGAACTGACTTTACTTTAAAACAACACCATGACTTAGGACACACCTGTGATTTTATAAATTTCCTCATACTTGGCTCAAGAGTTGCCTTTTTTTAAATTTGTCTTTCTGAAACATCAGGTTGAAAAATCTCAAAATCGTAAACTGCATCACACGATATGTTTAAATCAGACATTTGAGTGTGTGGGAAATCATTGTTCCCCTTTCATAAATATTGGAATACATAAATAAATCATATCAATCAATATAATAATCAATTATAATTATTGTGCCCACAAACAGTTGCAGGCTTTAGGAGGGGTGGACGCGCATGATCAATACAGATGGCACACAAGGCAATCGTAGCTTAAAGCTTTGGATATCCTGAGTTATCCAAGTAGCGCCATCGTTTTATCGTGCCGCGGGCAATCCTACTAGGTGCAGGCGACGCGCCGCATTTTGGCTTATGAGGTGTCCTGCACACGGACGCGATTGCTCCTCCTATTCGTCTGCTGTGGCAGCCGCAGACTCGCAGCCGATTGAAAGCACGCTCTGATTGGTCTAAATTAGATTACGTAACCGCGCCGCAGCGACACACTACATTGGCGTAGACGCAATTTTCGTCTCAAGTACGTCCCAGCATGTGACAGATCTGCGGTACTTTGAATCTTATTAAAATATATCCAGTGCTTTATTGCGGCTAAGTAAGTGAGTTCTTGATTGTGCGCGCATGAATGCGTGACAAGTCCACGTCTTCCGCCACGTTTCTTGTGAAAAATGTATATAAGCAAGATCACGCTGGCAAAGACTTCAAAGCGGGATATGTGTGATAGGACTTACATCTATCGGCGTTCGTCTGCGCGGCCTACGGTAACGGCTCTTCCTGTTGCTTTCGACATTATAAATGGAAATAAATATATAATAATTTTTTGCGTTCCCCATTGTAGAGACCGGGACCAGACAGTGTCAGCTGGACCGGATGGGCAAAGACCCGCGGCAGTCTTTATTCACGACATATATACAAACGTAAAAGTAAAGCGGCGCCCTCTATGATAGTATGTTAGAATCGATTTACTCGTGTTAAGAGCGACACCTGACGGTAACAAACAACACTACATCCCCCCTTCCAGAAGGATGCCCTTCTCTCAACTAAACCAACAACAATCACAAGTCCAGTCTCATAGGCGGAATAACCCGTCGCCCTGATCTTGTGTAGCGATGCTCCTGCTGCCTGAAGTCCCCTGATGTCAAAATTCCGTTCACCTATGGGTTTGCACTCGTCGCTGCCGATCGTCGCTGTTGCGGCTCAGCCGGCGTCTCTGAAGGCGGGGCTGGAAGACCAGCGAACGCCTCCTCGGGAACTCGAGGAGCAGCAACCGGCTCCTCAGGAACTGCAAAACCAGCAACAGGCATAAAAGTTTTTTCTCTCTCTCTCTCTCCCCAGGAACTGGAGCCCCAGGAGCGTGAGCACCGTAAGGCACCAGGTGTCGCTGGTTTCGCTGTAGCATGCCCCGTTGAGTTTCCATGACATAGGAACGTGGACGCTGCGCACCGTTGAGCACCCGAGCAGAGCACTGAGCATCGGTTACCCAGACCTCCTCTCCCGGCGAGAGGTCTCGAAGCACCTGCACCCCATGGCGACGGTTGAAGTCCACTGCCTGCTGCCGCCTCGCCGCACTGTCCCTCTCTTGGAAGGCACCCAGGGCCGGCACCTCAGGACGCAGCTTCTCCTTGGCCCTCGGCATCCGAGAACGCAGACGCCGCCCCATCAGCAGTTGCGCCGGGCTGAAACCTGAAACACCTGGGGTGTCCCGGTTTGACAACAGTGCCAAAAAACATCGTCGCTCTTGCGAAAAAGGTCCTTAATGGTTCTCACAGCGCGCTCCACCTCCCCGTTCGATTGGGGGTAGCCGAAGCTGCTAGTGATATGCTGAAAACCATAGTCTCTTGCGAAACTTGCGAAGTAATGTGAAGAAAACTGTAGCCCGTTGTCGCTTTTTAGTACTTCCGGTATACCGAAGCGAGCCATGGAACTCTGACTGCTACAATCACAGCCTGGCTTGATGTACTTCTTAGTGTTACAACTTCTGGGTAACGAGAGGGGTAGTCCACAAGTAGAAGAAAATCCTGCCCGTCCAGATGAAACAGATCCGCTCCCACCTGTTTCCATGGCAGGTCCACTGGAGGCGTTGGCAGCAGGGGTTCCGCTCGTTGCGTCCTGGTAGATGCACAGCGTTCGCACGTTTGCACCATGGCCTCGATCTGCTGTCCAACATGTGGCCACCAAACCGAGTCTCGGGACCGCGCCTTACACCTGTTCACCCCCTGGTGTCCTTCATGGATCAACTGTAAAACTTCGGGTTGTAGAGCTGCTGGGATCACTAGACGGCCACCCTTGAGAAGCAGACCATCGCAGACGCTCAGCTCCCCACGGAAATTCCAGTACTTCATGACATGGCTGGGAAGCTTGTTCCTCTGAGGCCAGCCGTGGTTGCAGAACTTTTCCAGCGTTACGCATTCGCCTTCTGATGCTTGATGCCGACGGACATCTTCGGGGCTGACTGGAGAACCTTCCTGGATGGAATGGATGACGTTCTGCACGTAAAGCTCCACGGAGCTCGCTTCTACGGCTGATGTCAATGAGGCCCTGGACAGAGTGTCGGCCGTAGCCAACAGCTTTCCGGGAACATAAAACATCCTGTACTGGTACCTCATGAGCTTGATCCTCAGGCGCTGGATCCTTGGAGGCAAAACGTCCACGTCCATTTCTCCCAGTAGGGCTGTCAAAGACTGGTGGTCTGTCTCTACGGTAAGTCGCAGACCTCTGACGTACTCGTCGAAGCGTTGTACGGCCCAAACGACTGCCAGGGCCTCTTTTTCGGTTTGACTATACCCCTGCTCGGTTGGCGTGAGTGCACGGGATGCGAAAGCCACGGCTCGGCGTTCACCCGTTGGCTGGTCCTGCAGCAAAACTGCCCCAAGTACAATCGAGCTGGAATCCGGAGATATGATGGTTGGGTGTTGTGGGTGGTAGTTGGCCATGCAGACGTCTGAAGAAATCATGTCTTTCAATCTCTGGAATGCCGCTTGCTGGTTTGGACTCCAGAGCCAAACACTCCGCTTGTTCAGTAGCTCGCGAATTGGTGCTGTAACGCCGGAGAGATGTGGCAGAAACCTCTCCACATGGTTGACCATGCCCAAGATCCGGCGCACGCCCCCGACGTCGACCGGCGGTTCCATACGCTGCACGGCTGCCACCTTCTGCGGATCTGTTGCAATTCCGTTTCCGCTCACGATCACGCCAAGGAAACCGACGCTTGTGACGCCAAACTTGCATTTGGCCTTGTTCAAAGTCAGCCCTGCCCTCGCCAGACGATCCAAGACTTCCGCCAGTCGGCGATCGTGTTCCGCGCTATCCCGGCCGAAGACGAAGACATCGTATTTCATGTTGACGACGCCGTCTTGACCGTCGAGAATGTAACTCATTTGGCGCTGGAAAAACTCTGGCGCCGACGTAATCCCGAAGGGCAACCGGCGAAAACGGTAGCGCCCGAACGGGGTTATAAACGTCGTGAGTTCCTGGCAGTCTTCGGCCAGCTTCACTTGATGGAAACTGGATGTAGCGTCCAGCTTCAAAAAAACTCGAGCTTCGGTCTACCGTCGGAAGGATATGGCGCTCTCGAAGCACCACCTTGTTCAACCTCGTGAGGTCGACGCAGATGCAGTATACGCCGGACGGCTTGGGCACGACGACCATTCCCGCGCACCACGGCGTAGGATTCGACACCCGCCGGATGACGCCCTGAGCTTCCATTTTGTCCAACTCCGTCTTCACAACGTCGCGCAAGGGGATAGGAACTCTTCTTGGAACGTGAAGCGAGAAAGGAATCGCATCAGGCTGAAGGCGAATGATCTACTCTTCTTTGAGCTCACCCAACCCTTGGAACAGCCCCGTCGGCGAAGTATCGTTCCTTCCTTGCTGGACGGCAGCCACCGGCTCGACGAACTTGACCACGCCGAGTGCCTGGATACCCGGAAATCCCAGGAGGCGGAACCATCTTGGACCGGACCACATAGAGCTTCTGCCTGGTCGTCTTGTTCTTCCATTCAAGCGTGGCGACGAACGTCCCGAGAACATCCAAAGGCTGGCCCGCTGGACCGGTCAGCTGTCCGTCCGGCGGCTCGAGCCGCGCCGGAATCCCAGAAAATGTGCTGGGGATGACCGTGACTTCGGCCCCGCTGTCGACCTTAAAACTCAGTGGCATCCCGTCGACTTTCACCTCGACGAACTTCGCCCGAGTGCTGCCGTCCGAACTGACGGCACCCAGCGCAACCGACGCGAGCCTCTTGCTGTGCCTCTCTAGCTTTGTTCCGGAGCGACATAGCGCTGCGAAGTGGCCCTTCTTCTGGCATTTGCTGCAGAGTGCTCGGCTTGCAGGACACTCGGAACGCGGATGAAAGTCACGTCCGCAGAACCCGCACGGCGAAGAACCCGCATTGCCTACGGCAACGTTGCGCGATGCTTTTGGTGGGTGGTTCCCCGTGACTCTCGCCGCGTCGATGCTTATCGCCTTCGCTTCGGCAGATGCCGCCGAGGCTCCGGTAGAATCGCGAATCCTCCGCTCCCTCTCGGCATCTTCAGTCTGACGTACTTGAATCAGGGCCTCTTCGAGTGTCAGTCTCGGATTGCGACAAAGCCTGT